GCAAGGCTATGTGAAATTCAATGGAAACGTCAGCTCTACTCATATCATTGTGGGAAAATTCTACTGCCATTCCTTCATCACCTTAGACTAAATAGGGTGAATACGTCTCATTACACTGATTTACTGGTAGTCTCGAAACCCTACTCACTTACGAAGATAATAATAAATAAAACTCATGTATCTTCATTATTTTTTTTTACTTTATCAGCATTAAATTAATATTTAATAATTACTGTGATAGATGAGCCCGCAAATAACTGCACATTTTCTTAAATTGAACCTTTTACGATATTTCGTGGCGTCTCTGTAAAGAGGCCGCGGAGCACAGTTTGGGAATCACTGCCCTAGCGGATAGATGGGCCAGGGCAGAAAGAGGAGTAATAGTGCAACTGATGATGCCGACTACGATTCCGGCGAAATGTCTGATAATGTGCCAAGTCCACGGTCTGATGCTGGACATTATGATAACTACTATGGCAGTGTATTTCGGACAAGGTACATTCAAATCAGTTGCCCTGACAACAAGACCGAGTTGCGAAAACGAGGTCAACCCACTTATATACATCGAAAGGGGATTGCGACTATGCCGAGGGCTGCATCATTTTGGTCTTTATATCTTCGATTACCTTTTCTAGTTCTTACATGCAATCTTTGCCTACCAATTTTGCTGCCTAGGCAAGCTAAATATCTCGTGATCTCTTCAAGGCTACGAAATACGAGTTCTGAGTCCGTTCCATCATGAGTCACAGAAATAGACTTGCCAACAAGCGTTTTGTTGTCAAATTAGCCGTAAACAGTCTGAAGTTGGTTACTAAGTCGACGAAAATCATTAGCAAAATGTGTAACTCAGCGCAAGACACATTTCAGATTTGTAGAGTCGAAGAAGTCACGATCATGTTCGTTTTGAAGAGGCAATCCTTGTGAAGGACGTGGTTGTCAAGTGACAACGTAAAGATATCGAGGCCTACACACACAAGTAACCAAAACGGCACACCTTTTTTGGCTGGGCTTGTACTGAAAATGTGGAAAGTAGCATGACTTGAGAAGTTGCGTACCTGTTCAGGCGGCTCTGCGAGTCGTGAGCTCCGGCTGCATCGGGTGCAAATATGGTGATCGGTTCTCCACTGGCATGATGTAGACCTTTAAAACCGTCAATGAATTCATCTGAAACGGCTGAAAGCAAAATAAGTGGATTGACACCTTTCGATAGAATAAAAGAGAGCTGCCTCAACAAAAGACCGTGGGGTTTACTGAAGCTATTGGCCGCAATTGGCATGTGTGCCAAATGCCATCACGATCGGCCATTTTAGGGTATAGAATAGAGCATCCGCAAGCGCAAGCTCCTTTTTCTTGTAAACA